GAGTTAATATAGCTATTCATTTTAATCATGCTTTCATCATTACAATTTTATTTATGTAATTTGCCTAATTGACGGACCTTTTTGTCAAATTCCAGTAACTATTTATTTTCTCACTAAAGTTATTTCATCCGTCATCCTTTTAAATCTTCTCTTATATAAAACAAATAATTCCAACTATTGCGCAAAATATACTTGCCAAGGGCGGATTCAGAGATGTCTGAAAGGGGGGGGGGGGAAATTGGGCAAATTGAGGTAACACCACTAGGGGCCTGGAGGTATGCCCCCCACAATTTTTTTTTTTCTAGATGCCTGAAAATAACCTCTGAGGCATTTCGGGCAATCAGTTTTTTCTTTTTCTTTCTTTCTTTTTTTCCTTCATGCAGTGGTGGCTTTAGAAATTTGTTAGTAGGGGGTTCAGCAAGGGTTCCAAACCAAAGGGCACCTAGACCATAATTCTGGAAAATTCCTGGTGGGGTTTATGATAGCCTAACATTGTCTTTTAAACCACAATATTATGGATTGTTCATCACTATAACTTTATAGAGATTGGCGGATTTATACTTTTAGTCCAACCTCGTCATAGCATAGGACGACGGGGATCCTTGCCTGTCCAAAGGGTAAGCAGATTACCCCCTGATTACTGTACCCCGCTGTTGTTGAAAATATATTTTAGTAGGAGTTGTCCGCAGTATAGTGGGATAAACAAGCCAGCCTATTGCACAAATGAAACACGATACAAAAATATTACAAGTTATCCAATACCTTTTCACTCGTGCACAAACATAATGAGATGGGTATCTTTAGTAGGTTAATTGGCACAAATTGGCAGCATACTGACAATAAATAGAATGCATTGTTATCTGATATTTCTACAAATAATCCAATTGAAATTTTATACTCAAGATATTATTTAATTAAAGAGGTATTGTATGTTTTGATTCAACTGATATCATGTTTCAATTGAGTTTTTAATAATTAAATAATTATTTGAATGCAAGATACTAAAGTAAAGTAGATTTTTAGCCTTGTTGGTAAGGTGACTACTAATTAATATTTTCATTAAATAGAAGGAAATTCTTTCCAAAAATAGAAAAGTAATTGTTCATACCAAAAAAATATACCAAAAAAAAATAAAATAGCCCTAAAATGGCGAGTCTTTGGTCAAAGCCTTGAAGGTGGACAGAAAAAGGGGACTAGCAGATGTGAGCAGGGAGAGAATCCAAGAGCTTGGCAAGCTACCATAAAAATAAACACAATTTCCTACCATGATGGTGATGATT